AAAAGGAGATTATAAGTTCAAGAATCTTTTTCTTAAAAGGAAATTATGAATTCAAGAATCCTCTTCTAAGAAGGCAAATCTAAAAAGGTTTCTTTCTTGTTTCCCAATCCTTGTCACAAGTATATATATTGCTCTTTTATTATTGTGACTTTTTTAAGGAAGCCATATTATACCTTTATTCTCTCTGAATATTTTTGGGAGGTTTTTTAGTTCTTTAATGGTGGTTTCATTTATGCTTTGGTAGGCTTAAATTACCTTGATTAAGCCTTAATTTCTTTGAGTTGATTTTGGAACGCTATTCCATGTTGATGATTGGACATGTTTGAGTTGGCTTTGCTGAAGCAATCCTTTATCATTGAAACTTGAGAAGAGCTCAAGTGTGACCAGATGGTCTCGTGGAAGAGAAGCTAGCTATGGTGGTTTAAGGTTCAACCAAAGAGTGAAGATTAAAATGTTATCTAAACAGGGAGTTTTACAATTGATACTTATTCTTGTCTTTGTAATTGAACACATAATTATTTTATGGTGAAGTAGCTTCTTCTGGACTTGATCCCATGGATGTAGGTAAGTTGCTGAACCATATAAAAATGAGTTGTGTTCTTTATTTTCTGTTGTGCATGATTTACGTACGTTGATAATTCGTTAAACAACTCATTAAGCACTTATCAAATAAGTTATTACATTTTGCATATTATCAAATAAGTTATCACATTTTGCATAAGTTTTAATCAACATAATAAGGGTTTAAAACTTTCATGATTAATAAATAAACTCATCCAACTGTACTATAAATTGTGTATTCCAAAGTGTAGTTTTTGTCGTTGAAGTTGTTTTCTAGATATAAACTATGGGCTTTGTAATGGATAGCCTCTCAAAAGTGTTCAAGGTTTTTCAAAGAGGTAATGAAAAGGGTGGTGTTGTGGATTTTCGCAAGTATACAAAATCATGCAAGTAATAAAGTGTAAAAATACGGATGTCGAACCCAAGGGAATTACTACTATCAATTACCAAAATTTACTATCTAATTACTATTTGATTAATCACAATTTTTTTCAAGGAAAATCTAAACTAAATTAACAATTGAAATTAAAAAAAATAAATAAATAGAAAAGAAAACAACTAAAATAAATTTTTGGGTTTAAAGCAAGATGACTGGACCTAGGGCATAGATTTCACGCACACTCTTATTCATATATATTAATTACTTATGCTAATTTTATTAAGCTCTTCCTACAAGTCAAACTCCCTAAATTTCCAATAACTTTCTCTTTAACAATTATCAAATTAACTTCTAATTACTAACCCGAATTATCTCAAATCAGATTTAAGCAATTGAAGATCATTATGCTCTATGGAGTTTACCAAAAACTCACAAATCGTGGTAACCTATCTTTAGCATTTCGCTCAACCTACTATCTTTAGCATTTCGCTCAACCTATGTTTTTACTATCATAGATCAACTAAGTATCATCTCTCGATCTCAACCTAGTCCATTAGTTCATTCAATTCTTGGGCCTTCAAGAATCAAAAGCATTAAGCATAATAATAAAACTTAGGAAGAAATCTTAATGAAAATCAACACATAATCAAGAGATTGAGCTATATCTAAGCCCTAAAAAATAAAATTAATTCATAATAAACATGAAAGAAACAATCTTCTTTATTAAAATAAGAAACACGAGTCCAAGAAAGAAATAAGAAGACTTCTCTATATTGCAAATCAAAAGCTCCAAAAATTCTATCACTTTGATCTTCTCTTGCATTAGCCTTCTCTAATTCTCTAAAAGAATCCCAAAAATAATGCTAAAAGACTTCTATTTATATCCCACAAAAGTTAAAGTTTTATTTTCCTTAATTCTATTTAGTGTAGGACTCTTAACTCTATTTTCCTAATAAAAAATGAAAGAAAAATTTCTAATTGTCATGACTGTGCCCCGGCATTGTGCTGCGGCGCAGTGATAGCTTCTTCTTTTTTAGTTCAAATCTCGCATCATTCCTCAGCACTCTATAAATGGTGATTTTTGAGCATGATAACGATGGAATGTAGAAAAGTGGTAAACATATGAAATGTAGCTCTTTGAATCAACTTTCCAACAGTTAAAGAATTGTCTTAATTCAAGGTCTACAACTCGAGTTATAGCCAAAACACTAAGGCATGCTCAAACTAAAGCATAATCTATAATCTCCTCTTTACTTCAAAGCTCCATAACTTTTTCAATTCAACTATGATTCTATATCTGCTTGTTGCCACTCGTCACTCATTCCGTTGTCGACTTGATTCTTCATCCAAGCGTAACATTTAGCACTAATAACCTAAAAAGTACTCAAACACACCCATGATCTCATAAAAAACAATTATAAAAATATTAAGCAACTTTACCAAATTAAGCCTAATTTCTCACAAATAATCCTCATAAACCACTAAGTAAATGCGTATTTTCAAGCTCTTATCAGGTGGCTCCATCAAGTTGAATAATTGATAATATAACAAATGGTTCTCAAACCTAATTCAATATAAAGTTTAGAATCTCTCATTAAGTGCTTCCTTTCCTACACCCATATTCCCATTAGATAAGGTAAGAAATTTATGTATTCTACCACAGAATTTCATATTCTTTATCTTTATCTTTATCTTTTTTTATATATATATTATCTTAATTACATTAACATGTGTTTAAAAAAATCTAAATGAACTATTCTTTCTAACTTTTAATTTTGAAATTTAGGACAAACAATTTCTCTTTTTTTTTTTTTTTTTCACTTGGGGTGTTTAGGCCGTTTTGCGCGCACCTCAACTAATCTTTTGAAGCCCTAGAACTGCCGACTAGGTAAGAGTCTTAGTGGCCAACCTTATTAGTGTCTAGGGGAACTCGAACTCATAAGCTCATAAAACCTTTTTTTGTTCTTTTACTATCAAGCAACCCAATGATACTGTGAGTGGGAGCACGATTCTATGGGTGAAATGTTTATGAATTTTATAATGTAATGTGCAAAGGTGGAAGCACATTTGAAGGACAATAGCTGCTTAATCTTTAGTGGTGGTCAATTTAATATTATCTTACTAATAAGTATAATATAAAGTATATAATACAAGAACTGGAATAACACTTCTCTATGTGCACTTTGTTATCAGTTGGGTGTCATTATCATTACAAAAAAATAGAAGATAATTTTCTACAAAATTTTACATTTTAGTTTATTATATTATTAAAAGATAACTAACAAGATTAGAAATATAAAACTAAGTTTAATATAACTTTTAAATTAAACTCTTTTTTGTTTGGTTAAATTTATTCAGTCAAAATGATATCCTAAAATAATATCTAACGGTCCTTTAACTGTTAAATCTTTAAGGATTGAATGTGTTCTGTTTGTCATATCCTAGCTAATTAACTAACCCGTTATCTGACTTTCTTTTTCGGGCATACTATATCAACTTAAAAATATATATATATATATATCTATTTATTTAAATTTAGAAACTGTTAATGGATTGCTCAATTCTTTCCATATTAGTCTTCCAAATTATAAACTGAATTAAAAATTAAATAAAAAGAAAGGAACAGGCTGTGTTATGAGATGTGTGATAGTGCACAACACGTGCAGAGCACAAATTTTTTATTTTATTTTAATTTAATTCTTTTCGAAAATGTAAAATAACCAATGTTTTTTCTCACAATATTCAGATTATTTTCAATTCATATATTGATATTTGAAAAATATAAAATTTAATTAAGTTCCCACCCACGTATAAACCTTTTTTTTTTTTTTTTTTTTAGGTATATGAAGTATTTAGGCACATATTGACATTAGAGCTTGTTTAATTCTCAGAGTTACGGAACACTTTGCAAACCTAATAAATCAAGATAACTGTACAAATGTAGTAAATACATTTCATACGACTTGAACACAAGACTTTTTAAGTATAACTAACCTCAGTAGTTAAAAGTTTGTTATTCAACAATAAAGGACGAGGTCACGAACAAACTTTGATGCATACACATTTATGAATTTCAGGAAATATACTCGTTTTTTTAAAGATATTGATTGAATTCGAAGCAAAAGATTTATAGATTGAATATTGACCATGAATACTTATCCAACAACTTGGCCTAACTTTAATGTACCTTTTTGTTATTCACATAATAAACTAACATTTCTTTCCCTCAGTATTGTCCTTTTACATAAATCCAATTATTTAGAGGACGAATTTAATCATTCAATTACCTTTAATAATTAGATTAATTCATTTATTTAATTTTTTTATTAATTAACTAAACATTAATTGGAAGAGTAAAGGGGCCAATAAATTGAAAAGAATGTTGAGTCGGCAGCATTGATTGTGCTAAGCTAGTGGCTCTTAATATAGGATTTAAACAAAAATCCTCTAATTTGGTCCTAATGAGACGTCGAGAATTAGGTAAATGGGACAAATTTAAACTTAATTTCCAGCTTCTTGTAAATCAAATACTATAATTATGACATTTAATAATTTAATTTTAGTCAATTTACTCTCTAAAGCCCATGTTTAATTAAAGAGAAAGAAAGACAAAAACAGAAATTTCTATTATTAAACAACTAAATACACACACAAAATATCTCAATAATTTATGATCGACCTTAAAAAAAATAATCAGTCTCTTCTAATATTAAAATATGTTATAGAGTTAATGCATTAATCTCTCGGATTTGATTAAATAATAGAAATAAAACAAGTTTAGGCGATAAATAAATATTTATCAATTCAAATAATGTAAATTCTGAGGATCCATTCACGGTTCATTAATAAAAATTGTTGTTATTATATGAAACCTCAGGGCCAAAATTCAAATGCAAAGTTTAATATTATAAATTTTTTTAACATATGGTACCGTTTGGTATGTATAGCATCTATTGAAGAAATTGTTTATTGTTTAGAACAGTAAGTATAATGTGACTCTTAACCACCTAATAAAAAATAGGGATATTTTTTTAATTTATTTAAAAAAAAAAAGATTGCCACATTAGCATAATTTCTATCCAGCATCATCAATGGTGTTTTGGGTGGAGCTTTACGCAACCCCATAATACTCGTCACCCACCCATCCAAAGATTCCTTTTCTTCTTCTTCTTCTTCCTCTAAATCATTTCTCTCCGGTTCTTTCTTCTAATTTTGTTTTCCATCCAATTCACTTCGCTCCGGTTCTTTTTCCTTCTTTTCCTGATCCATGTCACCCCCTCTTTATATTTACCAAACGCTGCCGTTTCCCTCACCTTAGTTGTTATATCTTACCGTTAAAAAGGAGTTTGTTGCTATACATTTTCTCAAGAAATGGGAAACAGCAGTAGCACAGGCGGTAACGGCCGCCGTAGACACGGAAGCCGACGTAATGATCCGCCACCCACGCCGCCTCAGCAGGAAATTTCGGCCAACCGCTATGTTTTCGCGGCTGTGACGCCCTACCCGGCCCAGCAGTATCCGAATAATAATAATCCTAATCTTCCACCGCAGTACTACCAGTATCAAGGCTACTATCCGCCGCCTCCGCCGTCCATGCCGGTGCCGCTTCCTGCGCCGTACGATCACCATCATCGTGGAGGTGGTCCTGTGGAGTCCGGACACTGGAGGTACCCTTGCGGGCCCATGGCGTCGGCTCCTCCGCCGTATGTGGAGCACCAGAAGGCTGTTACGATACGGAACGATGTGAATTTGAAGAAGGAGACTTTGAGGCTTGAACCTGATGAGGAAAGTCCTGGAAGGTTCTTGGTTTCTTTCACGTTTGATGCTACTGTTGCTGGCAGGTAACTAAATGAAAAATAATTAAAGCTAGAGCTTTGTTTCTAAATTTTTATTTTTTTGATAATTTTGTTATTTTTTATCTCATGTGATGGCTGTACTTTGATTACTATTTTTTATTTTTATTTTTAATTATGATTAATTGATTAATACGTGCATTAATCATGGATGATATGTGTGGAGTGATTTCTTTTTTTATTTTATTTTTAAATGATTTTTCAGCCTTTCGGGGGTTATAAGATCTGCTTGCTTTTGATCAAAATCAGTTATTCCATGGCATGAAGAGGATTGATATTGTGCCAACTTAGTAGTTTGAGTTGGGAATGAGTGTAATGAGGGAAAGTTTTGGACAGCGGAAAAAGTTTTTATTTTTTGGAGAGAAGAAATATGTTCTTTAACAGAGAAGAATCAATTCATCAAGAGCGAATATGTGGGTTTTCTCTCTTTATCATCTTAAAGAAGTGATTGAAGAATTTGACATCAAGGAATTTCACCAAGGAGTTCATTAGTAATACAATCACTACCTTTATTGCACTGGGTGAACCTTGGAATACATATTTCAGTCACTTATAACATCATTTTCAAGTTCTCATAAACTACTTATAGTAGTTTCCTTTTCCATAAATCATGATACACTTTAAGAGTAAATTTTTTTCCTTATTATTGAAATTCAATGCTTTGAAAGCAAATCAGTTAGAAATGCAAAATTTCACTAATTGCAACCGGTCATGATACTGAATATTGGTTGAGACCAGTTGAGAAGATATTTGGTCCATTATAAGAGCCATTCATGTTTCAGATGAGGCATTGAATATGCAATTTTGAGATTCAAATTAGGACTTCAGATTCATACTTGGGTTATCTTTCTCTCAGGTTTATTTTGTTTTATAGGATCAAAAACAGTTTTTTCTTTTTGGTGCCAGGTGGGAGAGTTGAATAGCTTGTTTGATATAGCAGCATGATTTTTTATTTGTACACCAAGTAAAGCTAGGCAAATATTGTTACAGTTGTTTGTTGGCCTTCGTATAATATCTCACTTTCAAGACTAGATATTTTCAATTTAATTGATGTTTGCTGGTGCAACTTTGCTAACTTTGGTAAGTAGTGCTTCTTGTGCCTTCAACATTAGCATTAGTAATGTTGTGGCCGTCTGTTGATTCTCTAATCAGTAGCTCCAATTATTGTTGCTTTCATGGGCAGGAGAAATATGGCTTTGTTTATTGAGAAGGATACAAAGCTATTGTAGGAGAGTGTGAGCTCACTGACAAAGTTCTTTGCGATCTCTCTCTCTCATCCCTCTCTTTTAGAAAATTCTAATGGTAGAAAAATTATAACAAGATGCAATAAGGCTTGGACGGATGATGAGTTCTCAAGATTTGATCTTAAACACCTAAAAGTCTAGTAGCAACATGAGATGTAGTGTGTAAAGTATGTGGTTTTTGGTGTTGAGGTAAACAAGATTAAAAAAAAAAAAAATGGGAAAAGTTTAGTATCACTTTGATGGCATACATCACTTTTGGGTGAGTATTTAGTGTCCAAGAACATATTCCCCCATGATGACTTAAATTACTGATGTGTTAGGGGTGAAAAAGAGAAATGGTGTCTTTCACATCACATTCATAGTATGTTTGCCTCATCAAATGATGTTAAATATAATTTTTTTTTTCTGTCACCATCTTCTGAATAATATTTCTCATGGTTATAAAAAAAAAATACTTTGTTTTCTGTCGCCATTGAACATCATTGATTCAATGGTGCCTTACTGTCATATAGATTTACCAATTAGTATAGTTATGATTTTTATATTTTCTTTTTCCAAGGTTAGATAAATCTTTAAAAGTTTATGCTCATGTTCTAGAGCACATCACTTTCTTTGTTCATAAATTTCAGTTCTTGTAACAAGCATGTTGTTTGTAGTAGAAGTAATTTTTTTATGTTGAGATTATATGACATATTGTCTGAATTTTAACTTCTTGTGTGATTGTGGTCTTAACAAGAATTTTATTTCCCTTGGAAACAGTATCACTGTCGTTTTCTTTGCTAAAGAAGGTGAAGACTGTAACCTGACGCCAACAAAGGAAAACATTTTTGCACCAGTGACAGTAAATTTTCAACAAGGTCTGGGTCAGAAGTTCAGACAGCCTTCTGGAACGGGGATTGACTTTTCAATGTTTGAGGAGGCAGAGTTACTGAAAGAGGGTAACATGGATGTCTATCCTCTTGCTGTGAAGGCAGAGGCAGCCCCTGCTAACCAGAATGGATCTGATGGAAACTCTATTCCTGGACCCACGAATTCTCAGATAACTCAGGCAGTATTTGAGAAAGAGAAAGGTGAATACCAGGTCAGAGTGGTGAAGCAGATTTTGTGGGTGAATGGTATGAGGTATGAGCTGCAAGAGATATATGGGATTGGGAATTCTGTTGAAGGTGATGTCGATGCAAATGACCCCGGAAAAGAATGTGTCATCTGCCTATCAGAACCACGTGACACAACTGTGCTTCCCTGCCGACATATGGTACATTTTTTTTTTATGTCATTTTATAATTATGATATTTGCCCGGTTAGGAGTCTTAGGACTTGTTTTCCTATGATGGTTTCCAATCTCTGCCTATAACAGTTCTCCATTTTCTTGAGGTTAGGTTTGCCTTGATCATGCTGATATTTAGAACACAGAAAATTTGTTCCTCTCTTTGATTTACATGAAAAGTAGATAACTCTTCCTTCTAGAAGATATGGTTGCATGCAAGTCAAATTGTTGATTTCAACTTGAACTGTTTAAAATATTTCACCAAGTATTATTTGATTACTCCTGTAATTGTATGAAAAGTTATTGCATGATAAATTTGTCTTAATTTGGTACATCCTCTCTCCCGTCTCATGAGTTACTGTATATTAGCAAACTGTTTTGAGTAAGAAGTCAACTTGCTTATTGAAGGTTTAAAAAACTAAAAGTGGAAGTAAATAGGGTCACTAAATTTCTGGAATAGCTTTGTCGATAACACAGTTGCTTTTGTGGCTTTTCTTGTGGTGCAGTGTATGTGCAGTGGATGTGCAAAGGTTCTGAGGTTCCAAACAAATCGGTGTCCAATTTGCAGACAACCAGTTGAAAGGCTTTTGGAGATTAAGGTCAATGGGCCTGAGGAATGAAAACCGCATATGTTGCTGGCACTAGTTTTATGTATAGTAGTTGCTGTCTTTCTATAGTTTCCCCCTCTTTAATTTCATTTTTTTTTCCACTTAGGAAATTTCCTGCCTTTTTAATAAAGGCAATGAGGTATGGCAAGAATGAATTGCTGGCATTGCGCCAGAATTATATGCAAGACAGTGCCTTATGCTTTGCAAGTGTGAGTGCTTTGAGGCAATTCCTCATAATTTTTATCATATGAAATATAATGTAAGTTTGCTGGGTTTGCTTCAGGAAATTTCCAAACATTTTAATGCTGGTTTTGTTGATTCCCTCTGTATAATTATTTATATTATATGCTTGAGAATGATTGATTTAATTGGTCCCTTGATACCTCCCGAGTGTAATCGGTGGCCAAAAAGTACACAGGATTCAACCAAAGAGGAGTACCATGTTTTTAATCAGAGAATTAATCAAAGATACTCTGGTGTAGGCTGTAATCATTCAATGATTTTCTTGTATGGTTTAATAGGCGAGCATGCAATTCTCCAGGAAGTATTTTCGACATACAATCAAGCTGACGTAGGATTTCAATTTTCTAATTTCTACACAAAACCTTCTGCCATAGGATGTGTCGAAAAATGAGGTCCAGACGTCCAGTATCTGTTTGCTTGTTCTTTGGTATATTTCTTTTCCCCACAAGCTACAAGTAGTCAAAAGTTCCAAACATAGTTCTACTTGTACATTAACTCTTTAAGCGGTACTTTTTTTTTTTCTTAGATGTAACTCTTCAAGTAGTGCTTTTCGTTCCTTGTATAGCTCTTGAATTCTTTCCTCATCCACCCAATCTATCCACAGTACTCTCAAGTCAAGTAATTCTTCGAGGTGATAAGACTGCAAAATAAAGTACAATGCAAGTTAGGGCAATGTTTTAATAACCAACCCTAAGTGAAACCCAACAAAGTTGCTGGGTCTTGGTTGACCAGCCAGTCAAACCAGGCGACCAAAAGTTTAAAATACACTCCTAAAAATTACAATAAAGTTCTTACAGATTTGAAATTTAGCAAACACACACAAAATACAAATCGGTTGTCAACTGGTTGGTGGCAGCGAACACACCAAATGCAATCTCAATCATTCTTGAGCCATTCCCTCGAAATCTACCTAAGATTTTTCCAAAATCGACCAAATCTCACCACCGCCGACATCGACAACCCATGTCAAATCTCACCACCGTCGGCATCAACAACCCATGTCAGATCTCACCACTACCGACATTAACCCTCCCCATCACCACAAAAATACTCTCCTCAGCCTCTTGACCAAAACCTATCTCACCCCACCTTGTTCGACTCGCCAATTGCTAACAAAAGCCAACTATTGTCGCCGCAAGTTTTTTTCGATTTTCGGTCAATTCACTTACTGAAAATCACCTGCGTCGCCATCATTGCACTCACTAGCCCTTCCTCTTCAAAAACCCCAACATCTCGGCCTCTAATTGTTCGTCGATCACTATCCCAATTTCTAGAGTTTTCGGTGAATAAGAAAAATGTTATCCCAACCCAATGAAAGCCCTAGGTCCCAGTTCAACTGACCAAGCCAAGCCGGGTTTTAAAACATTGAGTCAAGGAACTTATGGTGGCTAATGACATTAGCTTTATACTCTACAATGTGCACCCAACAACAGCCCGAAGCAGCTAAGGGTCCATTTGTTTAATTATTTTTGCACTATCCTATCCCTATCCTACTCAAAATACATATTTGCTTTCCTATTCTGAAAATCTTATTTTATTTTATTCAATTTTTTTTAAACCCCCTAAGTTTATTAATTTAACTAAACACCGCCAAAAAAAGTTTAAAATTTGACAAAAACACCCCCACCCACATTTTCCAGATTTTGGCCACCACCGCCAGCAGGTGGCCAGAATCTGGTATAATGGCACACTACCGATTGGATCTGACTGGTAGTGCACCAATCTATCATTTTCCAACCAGATCCACCGTGGATCTGGCCATTGTCAGCCAGATCTTTGGCCGTAGCTGGTCGTCAACGACGACCAAGATATGGCCGTCGTTGATCAGATCTGACAGTCAACAGCCAGATCTGACTATCAACAACCATATCTAACCGTAGATCTAACCTTTTCCGACTAGGTCCAGGGTAGATCTGGCTAGAAAAGGTCATCTCAGTACATGATCGACTAAATCCAACCGGTCGTGTGCTAATACGGCGACTTCGGCCACCCTCCAGCAGTGGTGGCTGATTGCCGGTATTTAATGGGTGAGTAGGATTATTTTTGTAATTTTCAATGTTTTTATTATAAGGGTGTTTAATAAATTAACAAACCTAGGGGTGTGTTTTTGTTAATTTTTAAATCCTACCTCGTTATTCCCACCCAACTCTTACTTTTACAAAAATACTATCCAAAATACTAAAACAAACAAACCCTATTTTCAACTGCACAGGGTTATACTTCTCACTGGCCTCTGCCATCACTAGGATGTCCCATTTTAACGTTGCCAAACCATATTTGCATTCATTAAGGACAACAAAAAAGCATCAACCCATCTCTCATGGGTGCTAACAGCACTATCTTCTAATAGGATTGGTGTTAATCTTAGTGTGGCTTGTAGGCAATAACTTAACCTTTTTCTGGTTTAGTGAAATAAATCATGGCAAAACAGAATTAAGCGCACAACATTTTGTTCAACAACATGGAAACAAGTGGTTGCTTATTTAGTATAAGTGCCCAACCACAAAGCAACATAGTGCCTCGATGAGGACTTAACGACAACACATAGTAGCAATAACAACAAACAAAGTTCTAACCAGACAACATCAAACATAAGTGACTAAAGTGCATCAATGTGTTCTAGTCCTCCCACCATTGATGCACATACACACCACTGCGTCTTAGACCCTTGAAGATATCCATGCAGTCTGCATTCGCTGCCCCTTTGCCATCTACATGACCAGAGCAGCGAAGAAAGATCTCATCAACAAAGCATATGGTTCCAGTTTTGAACAACTCTGAGAGAAATTTCAGTTCTACCTCTCCTGCATTTATCTTCAGGACCACAAAGTCTGCATATCGCACTGTTTCTTGAAACCAGAGGAGAAAGTCAAACCCTTCATCCGCCACAGATGGGTCCACATCTTCCAAGACATTAGCATTGGCAGTAGCCTTACTTCCAGCCAGGCCCGGATGATAAACAAAGGTGACACCAGGCCTCTTGACATAGGACAGTAGAACAGAAGTATTATGGTCAACAAAATAAACATTGAAAGCCTTGCGATCCACAGGATATGATGGCAAGAACCAATTTGTAACACGGGAGTTCAGGTGCTCCCCTGCCCCAATATCAATATACACTAACCGCTTCCTAGAGGTAACATCCATAAACTTGGGCAAATAAACAATCCTTTTCCCAAACCCCATTGGTTTTTCCTCCACAAGAGGCTCAATGAACTCCATAAATGGTTTGTTGTTCATAAGTGATGGGCAATCAGATGGAAGGCGATACTGCTCAAAGTAAGAGCAATTTTCAATTTCTTTCTTGAAAACAACCAGAGTAAACTGATTCACATAACCAACATGGACAATAGTGGAAGTTTTCAGAATTGAGGAAATCGGTGTTGCAGACCTAATCAAACCATTTGGGCTCGAACTACTAACACCCACAAGCATCGCTCCAATTCCACCTGGCCTAAGAACACGCTCGATCTCAAGCACTAAAAGAGCAGGGACAGAAACCTTATCTAGATCCCTGGAGTAAACAAAATCAAAGGAATTGTCCTCATAATCAAGCTCATAAACGAGCTTTTTATGCTTAAGCGAGAAAAATGTGTGTCTGTAAACCCCATAAGCATTGCTAAACCCCATTTCTCGCAATGCATGCACTGATGAGGACGAACCTTCACCAACACAGAGAGTTTTTGCATCATCAGTCAACATATGCATACCCACCAACTCTCTAGCCACAATAGTAGTCAGATTTGCATTTTCCTTGCACTGCATTGACCCAAGGGAACCTAGGATGGGATACATAAATCGACCCAAGAACAAATGCGGCTTCGAATAATCAGAAGTCAAAGAACAATCATTAAAGCTCACCGCATTGAACATAACGGGATCGAACCCAGATAAGATTTGCAGCAAAGGAACGACTGACAGAGCCGTGGCGAACAAAACGGCGCGCAAAAGCACACGCCTCGCAATAGACCCAGTACGGATCTTGAGTTTCAAGGATTTCAAATCCATCAAGTTTCAATTTTTAACTCAACAAACAGAAGCAATAACAGATCTTGATCAAGTACGAGTAAAACAGAGCAATATGAATAATATTCAAGAGAGAGTGAAAAGCCAATTGAGATTGAGAAATAAACTTAGCGAGTACAAAACCTGGAGGCTGTGTGATTCCCACCCACGAGGACTCCCATTGATTTTTGCATTTTTAACCAGACCCCTCTTGGAACCCTCTTTGCCCTTAATTTGAACCACATTTCATCCATTTTTTCCCCAACCATGAACACAAACTTCCCTTCAAGAACCCTACATTACATCTTTGGTATTGAATTTCACTCAATCCAAATGGGTTTTGATTCAAACAACGGAAAACAAAAACCCCCAAGTTGATAATACCGAAGATAGGGTTTCAATAAAGTGAAGTCAAGTCAAGTGAAGATGGAGAGTGAAATGTCGGCGGATCTAATCCCTTATAATCGAAGAGGCTACAGCTAACAGGGAGGTGACGATGACGTCAGCAGAATACTTGGCGAGATTATGAAAGCTTCTCATAATTAAATTTGCAGTCGTGTCGAGAAATGATTCGGTGAGATGCATTATTACTGACAAAGCGCGTGGCAGTGGGGCCTCATGAAGATGCTTCGGAAGCCATTCATTGGATCCAGTCGGAGACGCGTTGCATAATACATATAAAGACGGTCCACGCGAATAATTCTACTGAAACCATGGTTTTAAAACCTGGCCCGGCCGGTTGAACAGGTTGGACCAACGCCTAGAGCCTTCTCCGGGTGGGTTACTCTTTCCAACTGTTCTAAATTTAAAATCTATCAAACACATCCCTGATTAATACGCATCAGTCCCTGAAGGTTTGAAATCCAGCAAACATACCCTCTGACCAAATGCAAATCGATGATGATCTCCCCTTTTCCGATGACCTTCCACCTTCCCTTGCTGTCAAAAACCACCTTTCGACTTTCTCCAGACCGTGACGCTTCATCTCTCGTCACCGCACGATGTTTCGTCGTCCAACAATTTTTCTTCCATTTCCTGGAGTCGATCGCGCCTTCTCCGACATCGATA